TACTTCTTGCATTTCGATTAGCGTATTGTTTACACTTATTTTTTCTTGGACTTGTAAATTTGTTTCTCTTGCAAAAAATCCCTCCTTTAGTGTTGGGACTGACTCAGAACATCCTTTGGAGTTCAATGTTCCTTGGCTATTGAATAGAACAGACAAGTCTTGTTCAATTTCTCTTGTTAAGATCATCTTGAGGAGAAAATCACTAATTTCAGTTTTGTGGTTGGTTTCCACTTACATCTTTTTATAAACTATAGCATCTCCAATGTATTACTCAATTTTTCATTAGAAAATGCAGTTGAAGTTTACCCTAATGTATTATTTCATTTTTTACTCCCAAAAAAAAATATTTTTTCTATATATTTTTAATTACCAATAATACACTTTATTTATAWAATTTACAAATTAACTCCATTATCTTTTTATTTTATAAATCAAAATCGTAACATTATATTTTGTTGTATTAATTAACACACACATACACATTAGCTTTAAAATATGCACCTTTTAAAAATTAAATTCGTAATAACATTTGTTAATTTAGACATACATACACATTTTTAACAGAAAAAAACTTACACGTACATTACAATTTCCCACATTCTAATATAATATAACTATCTTGTTGCAAATTCTTGTGATTTGGTAAAATTGTAACTATTTAATTAAAAAGAATATCAAACAAACAAAAAATCATCACCAAAATAAATCTTTACCTCTTAAAATGAAATTATTTTAAATTTGAAGGATCATTTTATAAATAAAAAATTGCAACTCCAAATTATAATGAAAAATGATATTACTCAATATTTGAAAAAAAAAGGTTTACTCAATTTTGGAGTTGAAAATAAAATAGGATTGGAAAATATATTATTTGAAAATGGAGCTTAGAGTTAGATGTGAAATGGGGTTGTAGATAGAGTTATAGATACCCTTCTCAATTATCTCACAACTATAATTATTTTTCTCTCTTTTTTTCCTATTAATTTTTCATTTCTTAAATAGTAAGATATCGATACCCTTTAATAACTCAGCGTTAGAGATGTTTTTGGCAAAAAAAAAAAGTTGGGAAATGTCAAATGGCACTACTAACTTGTAACACACGAAAACTAAAATTCATTGATAAATTATACACCGCGAGATTTTAGGAGGAATAAAACAAATGTTAAGCATTTTTTGAGCAAAACTTGGTATAGTTAAGTTATTTGCAACTACACCGAATATAAGTATGAATATAGTTAAGTTATTTGCAACTACACCGAATATAAGAGTGAATATAGTTAAGTTATTTGCAACTACACCGAATATAAGTATCAACAAATATCATAAACCCAAAGAGATAGATAACAAAAAAGGGAGAAAAAATTAATGGAAACTGTTTCACGGAAAATCTCTATAGAACCCTACGCATAAAAACGGTAGAAACGGTTAATCGAGACTGTTTCAATGAAGATCAATATAACAAATAAAACGAGAATAGATTGACATTTTTTATATAACAAATAAAACGAGAATATATTCTTTTCATCGCATTTCATATTTTATAGACTTGTTATTTTTAAAAATTTAGTTTCTTATTCGTTTGGATTGGATCCGTATAGCTTACGATTTAAGAATTCACTAATTGGCGCCGTCTTACGGGACTTCGCTAGTTTTGTTACCCATGGAACTATATTTAAT